TGATTACCTTATGCCGGAAGCCGTTTGGTTTAAAATGCACATGCATTTACTATAACCTTAGTAAAGAAAATCATCATTTTTTATAAAACGTACCTTCAAATTTGGTAAGGTCAAGTCAAAAGTAGACAACAACACCACGTACAGTCAAACCTCTCTATAACATCCTTTTTTGTTTCGAATATTTTTGGCTGTTATAGTGAAGTGCTGTTATAAAGAACATATATTATAACATAACATGAAAATTGGTTCCGAAAAAGCTTGGCTTTCATAGCGAAGTGTTGTTATATAGAGATGTTGTTATAAAGATGTTTGACTGTAATAAGTGTTGAGTTCAGTTTTTACTATTCTTATAGTCGCTTCTCCCTTTTTTTATCTCCCAGTATAATTTTTTTTTTTAAAAAAAGTCAAAAACATATAAGAAAGAGGGTTATATATGCCTGTATTCACATAAAACAAATATAAGATGCAGTTATATACGTGTCTTTTTAAAGATATAATATGTGTTTTATTTATGCATATGAATAAGTATATATAATCAGAATGCCATTGAAGTTTTATAAAAAATTAATTTTATAAAGGAAGCATTTGTATACCATTTTAAGCCTTGTGAAATGGAATTCTCCATCTCGATTAGGTGTGAATTGGTCTCCAGGTGAACGTATAATTTGTTTTTTTCGCAAACATATTTGATTCAAACGAGAAATACATCTTCTTATTATCGTATATTGAAATCTGTCATACTTCTATGGATGGAGAAATTTAAAATTTAAATATATGTACATCCCCAAATTTCTTTTTTACTTTTAAGATCCAGGGGCAGCTTAACCCTAAAGCCACAAGCATTGGCTTTAGGCCCCCAAAAAATTAAAACCTCAAATTTGCTCAAATTATATATATAATATAAATAACTATGTATTTATTATTAATGATAAATGAATTTTTTTAATCATTTGTTGTCAATTTTAACCAATCATTTGTTGTCAATTTATTATCAAAAATTTATTAATTACCTTGCATTTTAAGAAACTAACATTAAATATATATACATATATAATTTTATTAAATAATTTTAAGGTCTCTTTTTAAATTTTGGCTTAGGCCCCCTGTAGTGTTGAGCCGCCTCTGTTAAGATCAGAATATTCGAAGGCTTTTTTTTTTTTTTTTTTTGAGTGAGATAGCTAATAATATCCTGAAAATTAAATTTGACGCTACCTTTATATATACTAACTGATTCAAGAAACTTATCTGATCAGAAACACTGGATAGAATAGAATTGCTTTCTGAAAGTAGGTCTTTTAGAACCTTAGCCACCGTTGATATTGTCATTAGACAAATTCTGATAGAGACATGAAAATTTAAAAAATACAACAAATATGTGGGACATTCCGTATTACTACTACAACAACAACAATAAACCCAGTGTAATCTTACAAGTAGGGTTTGGGAAGGATAGTGTGTACGCCGTCTTATTCGTACCTTGTGAAGATAATAACGAAATTGTTTCCGATAAACCCTCCAATCCCTGGGACATTCGCGTTAAACAGAACAAATAATAGGAGTAATATATATTCAAAGAGTAGTAATCTCTTATTGGAGCAATAGCAAGTTGGACACTGATTTTCTTAAATATCTCTTTAAATTTTATATTACATAAAAAGAATTAAAGAGAAGGGGGACAAAAAGAAAAATAGGAAGTGAACTTACATTTACTGTATTGATAAAGTGAAAAAAAGAAATCCTATTTGATATCATTAGACTAATATCCGTTCTAGTTCGACAATGAGTTATTTCTTACAAAACACTTATCCAATAATAATATTAAGAGGAATGATGAATGCATATTGTCTCGAATCCATGAACCAGAGAGCCCCAAAAGTAGATTGCCTTTTTTCCCTTTTCCAAAATATTGACCCGGAACTTACAAGGCCCCGTTTGGCCATAAGTTTTCCCAAAATAAATTTGGGATTTATTTTCAAAACTCATGTTTGGCCATAAATTTTGCTCAAATTTTGGCCAAATCCCAAATTCTAAATTTCAAATCCCAAAATCAGCTATTGAGCTGATTTTGGGCTAAAATCCCAAAACTTGAGAATTATATACATATTTTTTCAAAATAAAGTTGGAAAATATGTTTTGAAAGCGTATGTCCAAACACATTTTCATCTTCAAATCAAACTTTACCCAAGTCAGATTTTTCGAAATAAATTTGGAATCTATGGCCAAACGCTAGCCAAGTGTATCTTCCAATTTTACTTTCAATAGAGCACTAACCTAAAAGATAGTAAGAAAAAGGGAAATTCCACCTTTTTCCGGTGAGATTGATAGGATATTGTTCCTAATCAACACCTAAATGATTGAAATATATTTTTATTTTGTGAAGAAAATATCCTACTTGGATGGAAAAACAAAATTTGGAACGTATTAAAAGATAATGTAAGTCCTTTTTTGGTCCAAAAGAAATAATATTAGTACTTAAGTTGAAAGCATACAGGAAGGAATAGGCGCAGAGGGCACATTAGTTATAATGTTGTCAAAATTAAAAAAAAAAAAAATGGTTTTCCTATAGTAGTTAGGTCAATACGAAATGTGGGATCGGGGTATTTATTACTATCTACTATATGTCTAAGATGCAGCTTTTTCGATATATTATCATGTAGGAGATGAGCCGAGGGCCTATAGAAAACATTATATGTATCTCCTTGGGGTAGGAGTAAGGTCTGCGTACACCCTACCCTTTTTAGACCCTACTTATAAGATTTTACTAAGTTGTTGTTGTTGTATTACCATGTAGGAGATCCATAACAAAGATGGTGGATCAACAAAAAGGATAGTGGATTAGTTTATAAAGTGTAGGAATTTCCTAAACCAAAGAACTGTACTATATAACATAGCCATTTTGTTATATCAAGTTTTGTCCTTACCCTATATGTGATTCTTATTTGATCTTCATTCTATTTAGATTTAATTTAAACTTTGTTTTGATCACATTTCCTTGATGGTAGACACTTAGACTATTGCGTGCTCTATCTAAGACGGCGATAGGTGAGGATCACAAGCAAATACTGACTATGGAAAAGAAGCAAACGATGATGCATCTGTCTAAGACGAATATCTTATCATGAGTCATGACTATGAATAGAGATTTCAAAAGACGAGTTGAAAACTTTGAAAAGGTACAAAAAGATTATTAGTAGAGATTCAATTTATGATTAATATTATTTTGAAAAGATAAATAAATTTAAATTTTCATTATTGAAGAATTTAAACAATTTTATTTTTAATCAAAATACAAAATTTAAGTAAAAATATATTTTAAGAATTTTAATCGGTATAAGATATAGTTATCCAAATAATAATATTGGGTATTTGGTAGTACTTATCAATTATACAATGATTTATATATGTCTAAGATATATCATGACAATAAAAATAAAAAATTTAAATCGTAAATTATTATATAAAAAAATAGATCAATTTATAGTATATAGACTATTTCAAAGGGGAATAGAAGAAGGAGAATCAATGTAAATAAAGAGGGAAAAAGGGATAGTAGAAACAAAAAAATAAGTTAAATTAATGTGAGATAACTTAAAATATATAAATTTATGGTAAGAATATTTTTGACTTCAAAAAATTAATTATGATTATGCTTCTACTTTTTGGAAGAAGCTAGAATTTGTAACTTCTTCCAAAAAGCAGAAAAACTGTTTATGTCGCTTCTCAGAAGCACTTCTCCATCACACTTGAGTAACACCAATAACAATTTTTCTGCTTTTGGGAAAAAGCTACAAATTGTAGTTTCTTCCAAGAAGTAGAAGCAGAAGTAGAAAATTATTTTTTTCGAGACAATAATATCCTTATTATAAAATGATATTTCGTAAATTATCCTTTTTAATTTAACCTTTACTTTTTTATATCTACCATCCCTTTCTTCTCTTTTTTTTTTACCGTATTTTTATTCATCTTTTATTCCTATTTATATAATCTCTCCACTATAACTAGATCTCTTCTTTTTTCTTATGTCGTTTCTTCTTTTCTTTGTCACCTATCACTCGTTGAAATAAAAAGGCTAATCACCAGATTCAAGCACTTTCTTCCTAAAATACGATTTTTTTCTTTTGTAGTATACCAATATTATATGGTCTTCAGTTTGTAATTTTATTTAATATTTTTTAGGCGTGCATGCTTATAATATGGTTGATATAATGCAATACTTCTAGTTTGTTATTTTCTCAAGAAAAAGTGTTCTTCATACATATTATTTGTAAGCACATATGTTCCTATCAAAATTATTGCTTTTATAATAAATATTTAAAAATTTTCTTTTAAAATAATACTCCCTCCGGTCCAAAATAAGTGATTTTTTTGCCTATTTTTTGTGATCCAAAATAAGTGATTTTTTCAGATTTCAAGAATGAATTAATTATTTTTTCCTACATTGCCCTTGGAGTAAATAATGTTGGAGTATGTGTTAGGAGTGTTTATGTGAAGAGATAGTAAATGTTAATATGGTTTCATTGCTAATTAATGTTAAAAGGTGAATTTCTCAATATGTGTGAAAACAACCAAAAAATCACTTATTTTGGACCGGAGGGAGTACTAATTATAAACTAAATCTTTTACTGTCTTTTATCGTAACTTGACACCCAAAATTACTTTGCGGAAAGATTGGTCAAATATTAGATATCACAAAAAGTACTTCTCAAATGAATTAACCAAACACAAACTGTTGATCTCCACAAATACTTTTTCTAAAAATACTTTTAAGCAAAAATACATTTTAAAATAAACAGACTCTAATTTTTTGTGCTAATGCCTCTTATTCCACGTCACAGAAAACCTCTACCTCGGTCCCTCCAAAGTCCTGAAAATTTTCTGTATGTTAGAAACTTCAAGGAAGCTCAAAATCTCCGCAGCAAATTCCATACTTTCTTTCAACTAAACATTATATTTTTTATTCATTCCAATCATAAAACGTAGCCTTGTGCATGAACCACTTTTCGTATAAATACCCCATTCCACTCCTTTGACTAAAAACGTTCTCACCTTCCCTTTTCTTCTTTCTGTTTTCTCCATACAAATTTCCAAGTTAAACCCACCAAATTTAAGATTTTTCATCCTTTTGAATTAAAAATGTATGGAATTGAAGAATATGAAAATGACTATGCCCTTCTTGAATCAATTAAGTGTCACTTACTTGATGATTGGGATACTACTCCAGTAACAAGCTCCGACAATTCAACGACCTCAATTTACAGCAGAAACAATAGCATTGAGTCCAACATGTTTCCTAATTGCTTGCCCAATGAATTTGATAATACAGCTGATACGTTTCTTCACGATATTCTTAATGAAGGCATTGGCTATGGATTTGAACCAGCTTCTGATCCTACAATTCTCAATATCAAATTGGAGCCTGAAATTTCAGTACAATCACCTGAAGTATGGAATTTTACAAATTTTACAGAATTTGTGGCTCCACCGGAGACGGCGGCGGAGATGAAAGTGGAACCACCTGTATGGACGAGAACGGCGACAGCGCCGCCAAAGGCGAAGCATTATAGGGGAGTGAGAGTGAGGCCGTGGGGGAAGTTTGCAGCGGAAATTAGGGATCCAGCGAAGAATGGGGCAAGGGTATGGCTGGGTACGTATGAGACGGCGGAGGATGCAGCGTTTGCTTATGATAAGGCGGCGTTTCGCATGCGCGGGTCACGTGCATTGCTTAATTTTCCGTTAAGGATTAATTCTGGTGAACCTGATCCCATTAGAGTTGGTTCGAAAAGATTATCAACGTCGCCGGAGCATTCTTCTTCGTCGCCGAAGAAGAGGAAACAGAATGGGTCGGGTCGGTATACCCAACTGGGTGCTAACCAGTTATAAAACCTTTGTGCTGCTTTTAAGAGTTCTAATCAAATCTTTGGCAGTAGTTGAATGAATTATCATTGGGAATTAATATCTGTAATGATGAAATTAATCTTTTATATCCAATTAATGATGTAATTCAGTTTAATTACCCAGAGATAGAGAAGTCAAATGTATGTATTTAAATAAGAAAAAGTCACTTTTCATTTTGTCATACGAAAAATAAAGTCATATCTTGTGCTTTGACGCTTATGCTTAATATTTCATCACGTTAAATCATACTACTTGTTGGTCAACTAAATCAAATTTGTGCCACCATTAAAGGGAAAATCCTTCCTACTCAAATTTTTGAGTAAATTTTATGGGTGATCATTTAATTTTGTGTTCATTACTCAAAAATTACTTTTTTTTTTATTTTGTTATGTAAAAGTCATTCAACTTTGTGTTCATTATCCAAAAGTCACTTTTCTTTCTTTTGTTGCACAAAAATCATTTTACAATACCCTAGTTATCACAATAATCACTTTGACAAGATTTTACAAACATTTCACCTGAAAATTCTATTATACTCTTGACATTATAAATCCTCCCATTTATGTAATATATTCGTACATATAATTTTTTTTTAATATTAAGTTTTAAGATATATAAGTAGCATTATTAATTTTATAACATTACCGTAAATAAATCTCAAGTCTATGTTCTTAATTACGCTTAATGAAATATGTTTAGTGAAAATTAAAAAATCAAAGCTCGTTGATTTATCAGTCAAGCCGTACCATTAATTTGATGAATAAATGCCCACATTTAGCAAAATGACATATCAGATTAATACTTTCAAATAAATAATATTAACAAATAAAGCTTTAAAAACTTAATATTAAACCACAAATATCTTTGAACCTTTTTTAAAAATTTTATTCACTATAAAAAAATTATCATTTGTTAAACAATTTTTTTTTTATTATTTTAAATAAATATTAAAATATAAATATATTTTTATCACTTTTATACTTAAAATATATATGTTCATGTTTGAATATGATTAAATAAATTGAGTGCGTGAAAGAAATTAAATGTATGGACATATTATAAAAATAATAAATAAAATAATTTAAAGTTATCTTATAAGTAAAATACCTAGGTAAAAATATATTATATAGAAGGTATTACATAAATGAAAGGAGTAATGTCAATGACATAATAGACTTTTCAAGTAAACCTATTATAAAATCTGGCCAAGGTGACTTTTGTGATAAATAGAACAAAATAAAAAAAAAAATTGTATAACAAAAGAAAGAAAAGTGACTTTTGGGTAATGAGCACCAAGTTGAATAACTTTTATGTAACAAAAAGAAGAAAAATAACTTTTGCTAATAAACGCAAAGTTGAATGACCACCTGTAAAATTTACTACAAATTTTTTCATTTTCAAGGCTAGAACTTGAATTCTTTTGTTAACTCAGTGATTTTCAATGAGGAGTGAAGGAGTTCCAAAACCCACAACATGGCGATGAATTGCTCGAATATAGTCAGGTTTAATCTGTTAATTCCATTCATATACAAGTTTCTAAAATTTGCTAAGTACTCACTTTTTGAAAAAAAATCATAACAAAACAAAATTAGTTTTCCATTAAAGAGCAACCGAATATGCCAGTTCTTGACCTTAGCTAAAAATGTAAGCATTTTTATTTAGAACCTTACCAAGCACATCATTCAATAATGTAGTACTTTATTTCCAAATTAAAGAATTTAACCTATGTGCAAATGTCAACGAATATTTTTTTTGTACTATCAAAGTAAAAGTAACATAATACAACATGTAGTAACAACTATTAATAAACCTAATTTAGTGATTCAAAAAGTGAAGTATAATGCATATAAACTGTTGGATTATTAGTTGAGGTATGAATGAAAAATTGAGAAAAATAAAGAATTTATTCCTTTTTACAAAGGAATTCCGTCCCACATAGGATAATTAGAAGAAGAAGATTGTTGTGTTTATATATATAAAAATATTTATTTTAACTCTTAAAGAGTTGAGAAGAAAGCAAGTCTTGCACCTTCATCGATTTCATTTAAAATTCGCGATATTTTTTCCAACATTAATTTAAAATCCGAATGGTTAGATTTAAAATTAGAGACCGAACAGACACCTTCATCAACGGTCATTGCCTTGTTTGCAAACAGGCACCTTCATACCATTTCAAGTTCAAGCCTTTGGCAATAAATTTAGAAATTTTGCCTCATTTTTCACCATCGAAAATATTTGAAAACTTTGCTCTTTCTCCTCCGCATTTCGACATAGTTTTCAAAAGCAACATATAAGTGTTCAGTGTATGATTTCGCTTTGTTATTTGAGTTTGCCGAAGTTTTGTAATTTACATTATCGCTATTACAAAACAATCTTTCCGTCCTATCAGAGGCGGACCTATGCCATACCGAGCGGGGTCACCGGCACCTTTAAAGTTTGGCAAAATTTCCTTGTATACATGTATATGTCTGTTAGAAAAATATAGTGATATATTAGTAGTGGGCACCCTATATATATACAAAGCAGATTTTGGTTGAATCCAAAAGAACACCCATGACCTTCAAATCCTGGGTCTGCCTCTGCGTCCTCTATCCTAAAAGGAATTAATCCAAATATTTTGGGCAACAATGAGAGGATTAAATTTCGTAATGAAACACAAGTAACCGGCTCTGAATTTTGTTTTGTTTTTGTTTGACTAATGATTTTTACTAATTTGTCTTCACTTTGTTGTTATTCTATTTTACTGATTTTTTAAACGCAGGATTACTAACAAAAACCATTTCTACTATCGTTGGATGTTATCGATCTCATCACGCTCCCCTACTCTTATAATGGTTGGCGAAGAAAATGCTACGCTCATCTTTCTTACGGCTCGTTACTGCAGCGTTAGTTCACCCCAAGTAGTGATGTTGGCACTCAAATGGCTGAAAAGAGTGATGGTCTCCAACGTGATTTCTCTAACTTGTATTGGTAACGATAACATATTCTTAAAATCACGTTTCTTCAAACCTTCAATTTTCAATCGGGGTATTTGCGTCAGTAAACGTATTATTTATTATTCAACTCTTTCTTTGACCACTCATCATGTGCAACACCCAAAATAGACCAAGTTATTTCAGCCTTACATAAGCCATTTTGACTGCTAGTTCCAGCGAACTCTTCTAAAGTGTTGTTATCAGTCTCAAAATGGTTTGATATCTTCGGTTTTGAGTCCATGAGAAACATTTAATATGGTTTTGTTGAGTTATTCAACCATAGTATCGTATCACCAATAATTGGCTCCGAGGTTGTAGTAGGTTGGATAAGATTCTTCTGTCCTTAACCAAAGATCTTGATTTCAAATACTGGGAATGAAAAAAATTTACTTTCACCTTTAATTTAATGGGCCTTACATAACATAAAATCTGATTAATCGAAGAACTAAAGCAGATGGCAAACATCGGATAAGAAACAGAAAAAGGAAATATTACAAATAATGAGTGTTGGCATAAAAAAGCTTGCAAATACAATTTACGAGATAATTATCAAATAAAAGTTTGCTCTCTAATAGTTTAAGTTTTTAAATGAAATAATCACATAAATTCAGGCATGTAAGTGGCTTCAGTTCGAATTACACTGGCCCACCACTCATTATAAAAATAAAAAATTAGAAAAATATTCACTTATTAAGCCCATAAAAGTATACTGGTAGTACAACTTCTACAAAATACAACTGCATCTCATTTTAGTTTTTGCCTGACGTTTGATTTTATTATCTTTGAAGACTTTTGGATTAATGTGATAGCTACCAATATAACCCCAACAATGGTAGCAACTAGCAAGTAATGATGAAATATATGTATTTCTTTCATAATAATCCTTATTCCTCTAAAAAGCTTTTTCCCCGGTAACAGTGTAAAACATGTTTACTTATAATAAAATTAAACAAGTAATTAGATTCTCCACAGATCACGCCCAACTATGACTTATAAAAAGAATTAAGCGGTCGTTGCAAATATAATTCGGTTTACAAGTCCGGAGTCGAATCCCACAGAGAACTAAGGCTTAGCTACAGTTGTTCACTATCACCAAGAATACAAGCTTGAACAATTCCTAACTTATAGATATTAAGATTCTTGTGTTTAACTAACTAACTAACAAATTAAAATAATAAATTAACACTAAAGATACTACAGGTTGGAGAAAAGATTAAGGAGGTCTAGAGTTATGATTTCCCCAATTGTCCGAATCCTTCCCGCTATGTCTTCTATAATTTTGCCTAAGTATTCTCTACCGATCATGAGCATTCTACGTGTTGTAATTCTCTCCCGAGTAATTACGACAATTTACTAGACATACTCTCCCGAGTTACGCTAGCTGGCTTTAATTACAGCTTACTTAGATCGCACCCAAGGTTTCGTTATCCCTAATCCCACCTTTAAACCCTTGGTTATTGATTCCTCACATACTTCGGGAGTGATGTTGTTCAACAACTACCTAAATATGCAGTCTCTCCCGAGTAATACATACTAAATAGGCACAGCTAATTGAGGGCCCTTCAATCAACCACAAGAATAATATAGTTGAACAAATAGAGAAAATACTACGGCTCAATTATATAAAAACATAACAAGAATTTATCATATAAAAGGTTCCATCAAAACCCTAGGATAACAAATTAGCTATTCATAATAGTATGTAAAACTACAATACTAAAAGTCATAGCCAACAATAAAAGATAGGAAGAGGAAGAAAAAACTCGTAGAAGAATTCCTCGCCTTGCTCCTATTGTGTCTCTGCCTCCTTAGGTCGAATCTGTGTCAAAAATTGGTCTCCTCCCACAAAAATACCGTTTTTCCATGTATATATACCAAGTAGGGTCGGCCCCAAACTATTATACCTTCTCCTACGCGAAAAAGGATAATTTTTTCAGGTCTGGACGCTGCGGTCGCGGTCAACCGCAGTACGAACACGGTATTTGGCAAGTATACTACCTCAGCCCGCCTCAGGTCCGCGGTCGCGGTTTCGACCGCGTTTTTCACCCTGTTCCGTTTGGAATTTGGAAAAACGTAAAACATGAAAGTTGTAGCCCTTTGAGTTAGTTTTCCAACTATATATTGCGGAGCCCAAAAGAATTTCTGAGCAAAAAGTTACGTGCATTTTACTAGACAGTGCGCAATATGCCTACTCGATTCTTCATTT